TAAATTACACTTATATTACGTTAGCTTGCAGGCAAGCGCTCGCTAGAGGGAGAATTACCTCTGATACCTCCCTCCCTGTAGCTTGTTCAATTCACCATATCGTATGTCTACTCAAATCCAAGATTGACTGGTGGTTGATTTGCAAACGACATTGTGTAATTGGGTTATTTATTACTGCGTGTGCAAAACATAATGTCGAGGTATCAATTACAAAGAGAAGAGTGATTATATAATCGAAACTGCTATTGATCGCGTATATTCACTGCAAGTTGCGGACTCTGCATTAAACTGCATCGGTCCCTAACAAGGACCGAGTATATTTCGACAGTCACATCACGTTTTTCACTACAGACAAAACGCGCGCGAGATAAAAAGTACCCGAATCTGTACAGTAGATTTGAGAGTTTCGACTTTTTGGCGGGCGTTTCAACGAGTGACCAAACGTGATAACCCTGCGGGGCGAGGAGTGATCAAGCGTGATAGCGCTGTGATCACGCGTGATAGCGAAGTACCGTACTGTGACTGTCCGTGATGACCCCGTGACCAAACGTGATAATACGGCCATAATTGTGACTGCGCGTATAATTTCCCTTAATTCACTCCTTTGACACAGGCTGCTAATTTTGGCGGGATAATGCTTACAGCAGCACCTTCATCCTCCGCACTTCCACCTTCAACAGTACGCTTACCGATCAGCGCTTTCCTTCTCGTCATTGAATAAAGGGGGAGGTTTTTTCAACGGAGGATAATTATCTGCTGAAAGCAGGTATTCGGTTGAATTAGTAAGCGACTCAGTTTAATTGAGCGCCAACACAGCAGCTTACCTGTACTTAGTCACTGCGAAATTAGTAAGGGCTCTGCCATCGAACTGTTCTGGAACGGAGGACTCCGCAATGGCGTCAGGAACCGGAATTCACCCGCGGAGTCTTTTTCCCGCGAAGCCCATCCAAATTGACCGAATGCCCACTATTAGCGACGACAGCGCATCCTCACCTAAATCGCCTCTCGAACGCCAGTGCTCGTTCCCTCCCAGCGTCTCGTTCTACCAATCGGAGTTGCCCTTCGATCCGGCGAGCCCAGCAAGCGAGGGAGTCGAATCCACGTGGCACTTCCGTAGCGCTAGCAATGTTTTCCAGCCATCGTCAGAAACAGCGAAAACGGCGCAGGCGCAAGCGCAAGAGCCCCCGCAGGCGCAAAAGCCCGCGCATCACGGCGCTCCGCCGAGCCACTCCCCTTCGCCGTCATTCGCGGCTAATCTCTTTTTCGCCGCTTCTCGGACCATGCGTGAATTGCTATCCGGGGAACCGAGCAACAGCGGCGGAAAGCCTGAACAAGCCTCGACTGGGAGCCGAGGCTCGGAAACCGGAGACGTTTGGCGGTTTGAACGCGGCGCGGCGGAACCAGGCTCGGAAACAGCAGCGAGAAAACCCGCAACGGTTCAGGAGAGTGCTGCGCTCAGGCAGCGGAGCTTGCGATGGAGCGCGGGGACGGTACAGCAGCGGAGAGATGAGGCTCGCGCTGTTGGCGGCGGCGAATTCCATGCTGGCGGCGAGGGTTGTTTTGCTAAGGACTCTGTCGAAAATGTCGCTGGCAGGGAGGGAAGAAATAGGGTTACAGCTACTGCGACGACGACGACGGCGTGTGCCATTGCGACAAGGAGCGACGATGCGGGTGGTGCTGGAGTCGACAATTTTGATCGCAAGTCTGACGGATGTGATACTAATGAGGGGAGGAACAGGAGCAGCACGGATAACGTCGATGCGGCTGTATGCACGTGGCGACACGAGCGACCTCGACATGTTCGAAAACACGCACCTGCCAGCGGCAAACGCAGCGCTCGACCCAGAGGAAGCTGCCAAGCTGGCGGTTGGGACGCCGTTTTTGAGTCGCCTCAAAAACAGACTCGTGACAGAGACGCGAGACACAGTGACGCCACCAGCTCCTTAGCGGAAAAATATCAATGCACGTACACGTCAGCGAGACGATCATCCTGTTCAGCGGTATCGTCGTCGGTTCTTTTGAAACCGTACGAAGACATCGCGTCCAGATTCGTTGTACACCACCGGGAGTTTGGAAGCGGGCAGTACGGCAGCGTTCGAAAATGCTTGGAAATTGAATCGGCGCGAGTGTACGCGTGCAAGACAATTAAGAAGAACCAAATAAAAGATTCTGATGCTGCGGATGATATCAGGCGGGAGGTGGCGAGCATGTTCCTGGCACGTGGCCATCCTCATATAGTCACACTCCATGACACGATTGAAGACAGAAAGGTATGTGGCGGCTCATTCTACTTACCCAAGCCCCCTCATGCTTTCCGTTCCATCACTCCCTCAACAGCTCCTCTTTTTCCACCCCCCCCGCCCAACCCCCCCCCCCCCCCCCCCCCCCCCCCCTTCCCCCCACTTCCCATAGCCCTGCATTTCCTCTACTCCTCCCCTGACCTGTAGGACATTCTCTTTTTCCACCCACCTGCGCTTGTCCTTCCAATGCACTCACTCCTCCCCTGTCCTCCCCGTCCCTTCCTCCCTTTCTCGCTCAAACACCATGCCCGGTTGTTGCATCTCCTGTGCTTGCTCCTTTCTAACCTCTTCCCTGCCCTCTGTTTTTCTACCTCTGTTTCCCTCCTTTACCCTCCTTTCAGGCTGTTCACCTAGTCATGGAGCTGTGCAGAGGTGGCGACCTCTTCGATAGAATCACAAAGTTTGGGCCGTATTCTGAACCCTCTGGCACCAAGCTCTGCCAAGCTCTCACCCATGCAGTCCTACACTGCCATTTGCACGGAATAGTACACCGCGACATAAAGCCCGAAAACATCCTCCTTATGGATGCATCAGACGATACAAATATCAAACTTGCAGACTTCGGAGCAGCGGCTTTTGTGTCTGAAGGGGAGATGATTACAGATGTGGTGGGGACACCTGAGTACATGGCACCTGAAATGTGGGGAGCGGTTTTTGACGAGCCCAATAAGCTGGTATCTACACCCCGGGAAAATGAAGTGAAATATGGATCAGCTGTGGATGTGTGGAGCATGGGTGTGGTTATGTACGTGGCAATGAGTGGTGTGCCGCCTTTCTGGGCTACAGCAGAGCGAACTGTAGCTGAAGCGGTGCTTACACGGCCGGTGGTTTTTCGTCCCGCCAAGTGGGGAGGGGTGTCGGAAGAATGCAAGGAGCTTATAGCGAGGATGCTGGAGAAGGATTGGCGGAAGCGCATCACTCCTGTCGAAATCCTTGGTATGCCCCCCCCCCCCCCCCCCGTCTTTCACAGAGTACCTTGGCTAGCACTGACCAGCAGTCCACTGCTCGGTTTCATTTTCGTCCATTATCATCACGATTGTTTGCTTCATTTCTTGCCATTACCCGGTTTGCCTGACAACGTGCGCTATGTATTTTCGTTCTGGCAGAGCATCCAATGGATTCGGAAGCAACTTCACAGGCACTGATGACCCCTGCCTTTGCTACCAGCTCTCATGTGCTGCTGTAGCAGCAGCAATCATTGGCCCCACTGCCTGTCTCCTGCATGGCCCAAGCCAAGGCTCCGTGCCCTGACCTGCACTGATATGGGCTAGAAATTGCAGCAACACACAAGTGGATTGCACAATAAGGGCACGAACAAGAGTGGGCCACCCACAGCAGCATTCATGCGATTCCATAGCAGCAACATCCCCGACATCCTTTCTTGTGTATGGCCTTGTAATCTTCTGGCCTCATATGCAGCAGCAACAGTGCGGTGCGCCGCTTCCACAACAAATGTGGAATTTAAAGCTGTGGTCTACATACTACGAGCGGGAGGCCTGAGTTTATCACTTGAAAACAGGGTGACCAGTTTTTGGACTCGGCCCCCTTTCATGTAAAGCTAACGGTTGAGGGGGGTGGAGAGAGGGGGTTGGGGTTCTTTTTTCCCGAAACCGAACTCCCCAGGTTGTTTCCCGCCCTTCCGCAGACCCTTCCCCCAAACCACGCGTCAGCACGAAGTTGGGCTGGATTCGCGTTTCCTGTCTGAGTTCGTCGCTGCGGTGTTTTTGAAACATGCTGATTTCGTTCTCCAATCAGGCCGCACGAAAGGGTGGGCATAAAAAATACCCCCAAAAAACACCACTTAGAATGTAGACCGCAGCTTTAAGCCATCATCACATCATGCCCTGAGTCCCAACAGTTTTGGCTTTCCTCTCTGCCCTACAATTAGGCATAGCTTGTGGTATATAATTCACTAACCTGGTTTGGAAACCAAAACATTCAATCTATTATTTTGCCATGCTGTGAAGATGACATGTTGTGCTTCTTGAATTAAGTATTTTAGGCAGGCAGAAGCTGATATATGAAAGGGCCTAATTTAGCTTCTGTCTTGCAACTGAACAAATAGCAGAGGTCCATTCACAGTTGCTTCGTTTATATATTTGGTTTCCGCATGCAGCGTCCGCGGACTTGTTCAATGTATTAACTTCACCATTCATATTCTTTTAACGCGAATAGTGTCAAAGCTATCTTGCTGTCCTCGCACTTCCACTCCCCCCAAGAAAGACCGAGCCTTGGAAATGCGAGGAGAGCGGCGAGGAAGGTCTTTCTCTGGAACCCCCTGATTCTAACGTTCAGACAAGGCGACTGCGTGTCTCAGATTTACGCGCGTCGCTTCTGTGCATCTCCTGCGTATTAAGAACCCAAATCCTGGTTACGAACTTCCAACTAGGGACAAACGGCCAGAGGTACACGACGGCACGCAAGATCGTCGACCCAGCTCTAGGTTTCCTACTATTGGACGGAAGCTTCTTAGCCTATCCGTAGTGCTAAGAACCCTTCCTATCCGCTGCGTTTTCTAGTCGGAATCTAGAGATAGTAGCACTTAAAGTTGCGCAGTACCTCTCATATTCGCCGCTGCGAAGTTTCTGACACCTGTTTTTGACTCAAAGTCGTGTATCCTCGTACCTACTGCGGAGTGAAGTGAAAGCGTAGCGTTTCCTACACTGCTTCTCGTGCTGCTCGTGCTGCTGCTCGGCAGCAATGAAGGGTCTGGAGACGATTTATGAAGGCGACGAGGGGGATGAGGCGGCCCTCATGCAGGAGCGAGACACGGCGAGAGGGGACGGACGAGAGGGAGAAAGAAAGACAGGGGACGGACGAGGAGGGGAGGTTAAGAGCGGGGACGAAAGAGAAGGTCTCGGAGGGGGAAGCAACGGGGGGTCGCAGAGTCAAGAGGCGGCGAGGGATGGCGGCGAGGGAGGAGGCAAGAGGCGCTACTATCGCGCCGCAGAAAGCGGCGGGAATCGCGGGAGAGGCGGGGACGGGAAGGCGGACGAGGAGGAGAGAGAGGAGGAGGATGATTACGAGGAGTATATCCCCGTTAAGAAGCGACGCCTTATGGAGCAGCAACGGCTCCTAGCTGCGCGAGCGGCCGCGCGCGGTATAGCGCTGGGCGCAAAGGGCGGCGGAACCGGGGGAGGCGGAGACGGGGAAGGAGCCGGCGGCGGGGAGGACGGCGCCGGAGCTGGGCCGGAGGCTCGGCCGAGCCTGTTGGTGAAGGCGACGATGCTGAAGAAGGACGTGCCGGAGCTGAGCCACACGGAGCAGGTGCTGGCGGAGGAGAAGGAGATGTTCGAACGCCTCAGCGACCGCAAGACGCTCATGAGCGTGAAAGAACTCGCCAAGGGCATCCAGGTGCGTGGAGGGGCGTTGATACGGGCATCCAGGTGCGTGGAGGGGGTTGATACGGGCATCCAGGTGCGTGGAGGGGGTTGATACGGGCATCCAGGTGCGTTCAAAACCCTCGTTATAGGCATTCTGGGTGCGTCAAGGGTATCTAGGTGCGGTGAGGGCTGAATAAGGGCGTTTAGGTGCGGTGAGGGGCTTGATAAGGAGCGTTCAGGTGCGGTGAAGGGCTTGATAAGGAGCGTTCAGGTGCAGAGAGAAGAGAACCCACTCAGGTTTGCAGGGTTCCGTAGAGTGCGAGGAGAAGAAATTGTTTCTTTCCAACCCAACGTCGCCAAGGGCTTAAAGGTGGGGCGAGAACCCACATTCTAGGCCGTCATGTGCGCCGAGAGCAGCCCCTGAGCTGCTTTTGAGAAATTCTAAAAGCCAGCCAGCCACATCTGAGACTATGAGATGAGTTTTTTAAAATCTAAAAATCTCCCCAACTTTCCTCTCTGCCACGCCGCCTCTCACCCACAGTACACCGAGCCTCTGTGGACGGGTTGGAAGCCGCCGAGCCACATCCGAGGCATGAGCGAGGAGGAGCGGGCGGAGATCCGAAAGGCGTGGCACATCCTGGTGGACGGCGAGGGCGTGCCGCCGCCCATCAAGAGCTTCAAAGACATGCGCCTGCCCGAGCCCTGCCTGCGCGTGCTTAAGAAGAAAGGCATCCTGCGCCCCACGCCCATCCAGGTGCGCCCCACGCCCAACCTGGTGGGCTCTTTCTGATGCTCCGTTGATTCCCATCAAGTTGGGCTCTTTCTGGTGCTCCCTTGATTCCCATCAAGGTGGGCTCTGGTGCTTGTTCCCCACACCACGCCCATACAGGTAGGCTCTTTCTGGTGCTCCCTTGATTTCCTTCCAGTTGGTTGCTGCGGAGATAATTCTATCAACGGGAGCTAGACTACGGGCTAGGCACGGGGTAGGAAAGATCTCTGCGTTCGTTACTTAGTCGTTTTCCTGGTGCACACACTGCTTGCTAGTTCACATGGCAATTTGACAAGATTTTCACTAACGAAAGTTGACAACAATGATTCAGAATAATCGCAACAACACTGGCATGCAAGATTATACACACCTAGCAAAGCTGCTGGCCGACTTCCAGCGCAGCCCGGTCGACCGCGCTCCAGCAGAACAAAGCCGCGGCTTTCCAACGTAGCAAGTTTCCGGTGTGCCAACGCTGCAGCAAGTCGGCTGTACAGCATTGCACCCGCAGAACAACGGTGCACCTGCTTCGCAGGTGCGCGCAGCTGATTGGTGCACCACTCCTTGTCACAAGCACAGCGCAGACGCCTGGCAGACTCCACGCCAGCGACTTCGCCCACCTACCACGTCGACCTCGGGATACCATCCTCGAGGTCGGCCTTGCAAAAGTCACCCCGGCGACATTCGCATGCTTCCCCAGAAGCCCGTCGCTCGGGTAACACGGTCGACCGGGCAACCAGGTCGACGCCACCAGGTCGGCGTACTCCCTGGTCGGCGTCCTCCCTGGTCGGCGTCCCGCTACATGACTCCCTTGTCGAGGTCGACGTCGGCCCCGTCTTCGTCGACCACAAGGTTTGGTCGACCTCCTGGTTGACCACCCCAAACTAGGCGCCGTGAAGTCGGCGCCCGTAGCAGTGGCCCCCATCGACCTCCTCGTCGACCAGCTAGCCCACTGCTGCAGGTCGGCTGCATTCCCCCGTACACCCGACCACGAGGTCGGCTCCGCCCAAGCGAGGACGGGGCCTAACACAACTCCCGTTGACAGGTGCTGCTGCTCGTTCCTCCCACACGCCCATTCAGGTAGGTTTTAGAAACACATGTCTGCTAGCTGAATGGGTTGGCAGTGGTCTGAAGCGGTCGGTGTGGGTTAGCAAAACTCCCACCCTCTTACCACACCTCCAGGCTCCAGCCCTGTTAGTGCACGCACACCTACAGCCCTCTTAGCGCACGCCCATGAAGTTGGGGGAACCTTAACTGCTCTTTGCTGATCCGCGATTCCGCGCCTCTCTGCACCGCTTCATAACTCCTCATGAAACTCTAAACCACTCCTTGCGCAGAAGGCATCCCAGGCCATGCTGGAGGGGAGGAACCCTCAACTGCTGTGTGTTGATATGATTTACACTCCTCTGTACTGCCTCATGTCTCCTGTGCAGGTGCAGGGCATGCCATGTTTGCTGTATTGATATTCACCCCGCTGTACCACTCTGAACCACCCCATGTGCAGGTGCAGGGCATGCCGGCAGTGCTGGAAGGGAGGGACATCATCGGCATTGCTTTCACTGGATCTGGGAAAACTCTCGTCTTTGCGCTGCCGATGGTGCTCAATGTGAGTCTCTTTTTCTGCCCATGGTGCTCAAAGCTTTTTCTTTTTCCCAGGGTGCCCCAATTTTTTTTCCTCTGCCCCATGCTACTCACCGTGAGTGTTTGCACTGCCCATGTTGAAGAACTTGAGCAAACGGTGCACCTGATGTGTATATGGTTGGTGCATATTGTTGGTGTTTTTTCTGCCTGTGGTTCTCAAAGTGAGTCGCTTTGCTCAAAGCGGATTATGCAGCCGTGGAGGGGCCCGCGCCCATCCATGGGGTTATGGGGTTTAACATGGGGCAGGGCCTAAACACAATCTCCCCTCTCCCTTTTATTTCCCCCCTCTTTCCCTCTCCCCCCACACGCCAGGCGCTGCGGGAGAAGTTGAGAATGCCGCTGGTAGCAGGGGAGGGGGTCTCACGGGACGGGGCTCATCTCATCGTGTGCCCTTCCAGGGGCTTCAATAACCCACGCTGTCCATGCACGTTCTCCCGTCCCCCCGCCCTCCTCACAGGCTCTACAGGAGGAGGTGCGCATGCCTCTGGTGGCAGGTGAGGGCCCCACGGGGCTCATCGTGTGCCCCTCCAGGGAGCTCGCCCGGCAGACGTACGATGTGGTGAACGAGTTTGCTGATGCTCTCAGGAACGACCGCAGAGAGCGGTGAGTTGGGTGGGGAGAGAGGTGCGTGGGAAGGTTGGGGCGCAGTGGGGACACAAGAGCTGGTTGAGTTTAGGGAAGACAGTTGGCCTGGCCATGCAGATGTGTAACTTTTGAGTCGACTGAAAGTCACCTTTTGAGTTGACTCAAAAGTCACCTAGACAGTTGGCCTGGCGAGGCAGATGTGTCCAGGTTGAGGGAAGAGCATCAGCCATGCCCGATGCTCTGAACGAGTACGCGGATGCTCTGAGGTGAGGAACGACTGCAGAGAACATTGAGCTGATTGAATATGGGTTGGGAAGGTTGAGGTGGGTGTGGGGGGTGGGGACGTTAGAGGTGAGAGGAAGGGGGTGGCTGGGCGGGCGGTTGTGTGTTGTGGTGAACGAATTCGTGGATGCTCTGAGAAATGACCGCATGGAGCCGTGAGTTGGGTGGGGAGAGGGGTGGGGTTGGTGAGTAGGTGAGTAGAGTGTGAAAGGAACATTGAAGTTGATAGGAAGGAGGCGCACCAAAGCTCGTCTCATTTCACAAAGGAGGTGACCCACCAGACGTTCAATGTGGATGAATGAGTTCCCCATTTTCAACTCAATGATCAACCCATGAGCTTTCCAGCACATTATGCATTCCCCCACTTGCATCGCATCTTGTCCTTCCCTACTCTCACCCCAGGTACCCAGAGCTGCGCAGCATGCTGTGCATAGGGGGCATTGACATGCGGCAGCAGCTGGAGGTGGTCAAACGCGGAGTGCACATGGTGGTCGCCACGCCCGGTCGGCTAAAAGACTTGCTAAACAAAAAGCGCATGAACCTGGACATATGCAAGTACCTGTGCTTGGATGAAGCCGACAGGCTCATTGACTTGGGTTTCGAGGATGATATCAGAGAGGTTTTCGACCACTTTAAAGCCCAGCGCCAGACGCTGCTGTTTTCCGCCACCATGCCCAAGAAAATCCAGGCGTTTGCGAAAAGTGCCCTGGTGAAGCCGGTTATGGTTAATGTGGGGCGTGCAGGTGCAGCGAATCTGGACGTGATTCAGGAGGTGGAGTATGTGAAGCAGGAGGCCAAGATCGTGTACCTCCTCGAATGCCTCCAAAAAACGCCGCCTCCGGTTCTGATTTTCTGCGAGAACAAAGCCGACGTGGACGACATTCACGAGTACCTGCTGCTCAAGGGAGTGGAGGCGGTGGCGGTGCACGGAGGGAAGGACCAGGAGGAGCGCGAGGCGGCAATCGCGGCGTTCAAGGCCGGGAGGAAGGATGTGCTGGTGGCGACTGATGTGGCGTCCAAGGGGCTGGACTTCCCGGACATTCAGCACGTGGTGAACTATGACATGCCCGCTGAGATTGAGAACTATGTTCACCGCATCGGCCGCACGGGGCGCTGCGGGAAGACGGGGATTGCCACCACGTTCATCAACAAGAACCAGGTGAGGTCCTCACAGGTGCAGTGCGGTGCTGAGGGGTCCAGGTGGGTGCAGTGCGGTGCTGAGGGGTCCGGGTGGGTGCAGTGCGGTGCTGAGGGGGTCCAGGTGGGTGCAGTGCGGTGCTGAGGGGTCCAGGTTGGTGCAGTTCGGTGCTGAGGGGTCCAGGTGGGTGCAGTGCGGCGCTGAGGGGTCCAAGTGGGTGCTTTGCGGTGCTGAGGGTTCCAGGTGGGTGCAGTGCAGTGCTGAGGGGTCCAGGTTGGTGCAGTGCGGTGCTGAGGGGTCCAGGTGGTTGCAGTGCGGTGCTGAGGGGTCCAGGTGGGTGCAGTGCGGTGCTGAGGGGTCCTGGTGGGTGCAGTGCGGTGCTGAGGGGTCCAGGTTGGTGCAGTGCAGTGCTGAGGGTTCCAGGTGGGTGCAGTGCGGTGGTGAGGGGTCCAGGTGGGTGCAGTGCGGTGCTGAGGGGTCCAGGTGGGTGCAGTTCGGTGCTGAGGGGTCCAGGTGGGTGCAGTGCGGCGCTGAGGGGTCCAAGTCGGTGCTTTGCGGTGCTGAGGGTTCCAGGTGGGTGCAGTGCAGTGCTGAGGGGTCCAGGTTGGTGCAGTGCAGTGCTGAGGGGTCCTGGTGGTGCGGTCCGGTGCTGAGGGGTCAAGTGGGTTTTAACCCCTGTTTTCCCCTCCTGGTTCTCCCGCTTTCCCTGCTTCCCCTGCTCCCACTTCCCCCCACCCCTTCCTGCAACAGAGCGAGACGATTCTGCTGGATCTGAAGCATCTGCTGCGGGAGGCGAAGCAGCGCATCCCCCCCGTGCTGGCCTCCCTGGACGACCCCATGGAGGACGCAGAGGCTCTCGCCGCCGCCTCTGGTGTGCGCGGGTGTGCCTTCTGTGGCGGCCTTGGCCATCGCATCAGCGAGTGCCCCAAGCTCGAGCACCAGAAGACTCAGGCCATCTCTGGGAATCACAAGGACTACTTGGGGTCGGGAGGGTATGGAGGGGAGATGTGAGCAGAATGTGGCACTATTTCCTCGCTTTCTGCAAGTTTTTGGCACAGCTCTGGCAGGGATTGGGGGTTGAGGGGACGGCCCCTGGCGTGCGCGCAGGAGATTTCTGGGACACACAAGGACTACCTACCTGGGGTGCGGGGGGTATGGGGGGGAGATTCAACCAGAATATGGGGAGATGTGACAGGACCAGGGCAATGGTGGGGAGAGAATGAAGCAGTGTGGACCTTCGGGGAATAAAAATCATGTATAATTTTCTTGCCATTGTAGAGGAAATGCTGTGTCGTGCTTCTTTGTTGTCACGAGCTTTCAGTGGGCACATTTCACAAAGTTTTTTACCAGATATTTTGTTTGCCTTGGACTGTAACTGCATTTATTTACTCTTCAGCGCTTTGTTTGGGCTTTCTTTTTCGCGAAATCACGAATGTCACTAACGAGTACCGAATCATTCGCGTCCATCAGCCGTTTCCCGCGCGGTTTGCTCGTAACACACCACCATCGCCCTCAATGATTTTAGCCTGGCGTGAACAGCTCAAATTCGCATCGCAGCCATCGCGTATGTTGTTGTGCAGCATCGTCGTGGTCCCGTCGACGCCGTTTCGTCGCCATGTCTGTTCAAGGCGCGTGTTCCGCGCGATCGCACTCGGCATCTCCGTTCGCGGCTTCCACTTTACGACAACATCAACACCCGTTTCGAAGCCGCATGGCACTTCCCGCAACCACACTCCTAGCGCGAACTCCCGCGGGCCGAACGCGAATTTCGGCGGCTCGAGCGCAAATACCGGCCGGAAACCACCCGTGTAGAACACTCATTCGGCCTGACACTCTAACGAGCGCGATCAGATCAGAATACCCATGGGTTAGAGTAGAATTCCCTGCTATTTTAGCCAATCAGAGAAGGTTAACCTTGTGCGCGATAGATGAGCGCGATTGGTCGACTAATGGCGGTCGGAGCGGCGGAGGGCAGCGGAGGAGGCCGTCCGTTGTGTGGGAAACGGGGGAGGGAACCGGTGCGGAGGGGCGGAATGCGGTGGGGGAGGGACGGAATGCTCTATGGGAGGGGTGGGGTTCACCGGGGGAGGGGCGGAATGCGCCAGGGGAGGGGCGGAAATGGACCGCGCGGGAGGGGGAAAGAAGGGGTGGAGCGAATGCAGTGAGAGGCGCAGTTTGGCGCAGAGGCGCAGTGGAGACGCGGGAGGCGGCGGGGGGAAGAGAGGCGGCAGGGGGTAGGGGGGCGGGAGGGGGGAGAGAGGCGGGAGGGGAAAAGGAGGCAGCAGAGAGAAGAGGAGATGAAGAGGGGCAGACGGGAACGAGTGAAAGCAGGGTAGCTGCATGGGCAAGGGGAGAAGAGGGGAGAGGAGGGGGAGGGGCGCAAGGAATGAGCAGCGACAGCAGAGACGAGAGAGTGAGGCAGCGGAGCAGGGCAGACGGGTGGGTGGGGCCATCTTGGGAGAAGAGAGGGAATGGGGAGTCGAGAGCAACGGGGCCAGAGGGGAGAGTTGGGGGAGGAGGGAGAGGGACTCAACGGGCGAGCAGCAGCAGTCACAGCAGCAGGGTAGACGCGTGGGTGCCTCCCTCTTGGGAAAAGAGAGGGAATGGGAATTTGAGAACAAGGGGAGCTGAGGGGGGAGGAGGGGTTGGGGCGGAAAGGACGAGCAGCAGTCACAGCAGCAGGGTAGACGCGTGGGTGGCTCCCTCTTGGGAAAAGAGAGGGAATGGGAATTTGAGAACAAGGGGAGCTGAGGTGGGAGGAGGGGTTGGGGCGGAAAGGACGAGCAGTAGTCGCAGCAGCAGGGTAGACGCGTGGGTGGCTCCTTCCTGGGAGAAGAGAGGGAAACGAGCATGGTGGATGGAAGGCGAGGATGGGGGGAGTGGAGGAGAGGGGGGGAGTGGAGGGGATGGGGGGAGTGGAGGGGATGGGGGGAGTGGAGGGGATGGGGGGAGTGGAGGGGATGGGGGGAGTGGAACGGACGGGAGTACTGCAAGGGACGGGGGTATGAGAGGGACTGAGGTGGAAGTTGAGAGTAGGGCGGGATGGTTAGAGAGGGATGGAGAAGGCATGGAAGGGGAAGGAGTAGGAGTAGAGAGAGTGAGAGGAGAAGGGGTTTTTCCATGGCAGGACGCTGTATCATCAGCCACAGCAGCAGCTGCAGCTGCAGCAGGTGCTGGTGGGTCTTCCAGTGGTGCTGTGGTTGCTGATACAGCCGTGGTAAGTGCCAGTGGATTACTGAACGAGCAGTCGCACTCACCATCCACAGCAGCAGTCGGGGGTTCTACCGATGGTGCGCCCACAGCAGCATTTCACGAGCAATCACAGTTCCCTGACCGACCAGCGGCAGTAGCAGCAGGAGCGGCAGCAGCAGCAGGAGCAGCAGGAGCAGCAGCAGGAGCAGGAGCAGCAGCAGCAGCAGGAGCAGCAGCCGCAAAACAAGTGGTGGTGGCTGCGAGTGTTGGTGATCAACCCACACGAGCACGAGTGGCATATCCACCATTCGACACAGAAGAGCCAGACGCAGCAGAATCACACGCAGGAGAGCAAGCCGAATCACGAGCAGCAATGGTAGCATCGGCACTGAACACAGCAGAGTCACATGCAGCAGATCGTGCTGAGAGCCCGACTCCTTCCCCTGGCAGGGCTTCAAAGGGCGGCGGGCTGGGAGGGCAGTCACGCACACAGGAGCAGCAGTGGCCATGGGATGAGGAGGAGGGGGATATCCCATGCGCAGGGATTACCAGTGTTGCTGATGACGATGGTGATGGTGGTGTTGGTGGTGTTGGTGGTGGTGGTGATGGTGTTTCCAGTGTGACCCGGAGCAGAGCAGCAGCGGCGGCCACTGACAGTAGCAGCACCAGGAAGAGCGGCAGGAAGAACACTTCTTTCACCAGGGATGGCAGCAGCAGCAGTAAGAATGCCCCTCTGGAGTCTGCTAGAATACCCAGGCTGGAATTTTCAGGAAACGGTATACCCTCCTTGCCGTCTCAAAGCAGCAGCAGGAGCGGTAGAAGCAGCAACAGCGGAAGCAGCCTGGAAGTTTCCCGGGACAGCCCCGTGGCGCTCGCGCTGCAGGAGAGGCGCAAGGTGGTGCGGGCGGCGCTGATGTCAGCGTTTGAGGAGGTGAAGCTGGGGAAGGTGTATTCCAGGGAGCTTATGAGGCACCTCCCTGCCTATATCGACCAGCTCGTGCTCCAGGTGAGGCTTCAGGTGCCTTTTCAGGTGAGACCCCATGTGCCTTTTAAAATGGTTTTCCATGTAGATCTCCGGGTGGGTTTTTGGCGGGGTTTCAGGTGCGTTCCCATGTGGATTTCAGGTGTTTTTTCAGGTAAGACTCCAGTTGCATTCCTGGTGGGATCTCTAGTATTGGCAATTTTGCCAGCGTTCGTACAGGTGAAACTGGTGAAAGTGTGTTGGGGTGAATCTGTCAAAACAGAACCGGACACGTTTTCTTCCCCCTTCCGCTCACTCTCTTCCCCCCAACCCCCCATCCCCTTCCCCAGGCTGTAGCCCTCAAGTCCGATCCGCACTACACCTTCCACTCCTTCCCCCACCGCGCGGCCATCGCAGTGCACCGCTCTGCACCGAACCTGCTCGCGCGGTGGCTGAAGCAGACGGCCAAGCAGAGCTTCGCCCGCACTGCCGCCCTCATCACTCTCGCTGCCGCCATGCATGCTGATTCCACTGATGCTGCTGCTGATGCTGTTTCTGCTGTGGGGGGAAATGCCCTTGCCAGACGAGATGGGCCGCGTGAGGGGGAGGAGCAGGAGCGGCGGAGTGGTGTGGTGTGGGTGCGGGATTACATCGAGTGGTTGCACCGAGCAGGGGTGAAGCATGATGTGGTGGGCCGCATCGTTGTCCGCAACCCTGCCATCCTTGCCACACCGATCCACGACCTTCAGGTGGGTAGCCCGCACGAGCGGGCATGGGAGCGGTTGCACCGATTAGGCGTGAAGCATGATGTGGTGGGCCGCATTGCCGTGCGCAACCCTGCCATCCTCTTTGTTTGAGATTGATTTTGAGAATTGTTTGGGGCGCATCCAAAATCAATCTCATCCTCGCCACTCCCATCCCCCACCTTCAGGTAACCCCTTCAACCCGAAACCCCTGAACCCTCAACCTGCCATCCTCGCAGCACTTAAACTGCACCTTGAGGTCGGCATGAGCAAGGTTGGGTGAGTGGGCAGGTGGGGTGCAGTGGGAAGTGGCGTGGTGTGGTGTGGGTGAGGGATTACATCGAGTGGTTGCACCGGGCAGGCATGAAGCATGATGTGGTGGGCCGCATTGTCGTGCGCAACCCTGCCATCCTCGCCACGCCCATTCATGACCTTCAGGTGGGTAGGTCGGCAAGCATGATGAGAGGGCGGGTGGGTGGGCGGGGTGGAGTGTGCAGTGGTGTGGTGTGGTGTGGTGTGGTGTGGTGTGGTGTGGTGTGGTGTGGGTGCGTGGGTGGTGCAAAGTGGGTGAGGGATGACATCAAATGGTTGCACCGAGCAGGCGTGAAGCATGATGTGGTGGGCCGCATTGCCGTGCGCAACCCTCCTTGCTGCACCCATCCACCAGCTTCAGGTATTATCCCCCTAAACCCCTCAATCCTGCCATTCTTGTCACACCCATACCGAATAGACTGCCTGGTCAACCAAGTGGGCGTGCGGTGCGGAGGGAGTGGGTAGGAGTGGTTGGGAGTGGGTGAGTGAGGGTGGTGCTAACCAAGCAAGGCGCCAGGCGTGCTGAGGGACTCTCTTATACCTTCCTCACTCATATCCTGCTGTGTGTGGTCTTGTCTCCTGTGCATTTTATCCTGCTCGTGTGGACTGCCTGGTCAACCAAGAAGGCGTGCGGAGGGAGTGGGTAGGAGTGGTGCTCAGCAAGGCGCCAGGCGTGCTGGTGGAATCTCTTACGGTTTTCTCCTCGCTTACCCATTTCCCCCCTTCCCTCTCCCGTGTACCTTCCGCCATGCCTTTCATCGGGTATCTCCCTCCTCTCTTCCCCTTGCTCCAGGTCCGAGTAGACTACCTGGTCGACCAAGTGGGCGTGCGGAGGGAGTGGGTAGGAGTGGTGCTCAGCAAGGCGCCAGGCGTGCTGGTGGATCCATTTGAGAAGCTTCTAGGAAAGGGGCGGCTGCTGCATGCTATGCTTGAGCCGCTGGCAGCGCAGCAGCGGGAGCAGTGGGAGGAGCGGGAGAGGGAGAGGAGGGTGAGAGAGGCGGAATGGGAGGAGGAGGCAAGGCTGAGGGAGTGGAGGGAGGAGAGGGAGGAAAGCGAGGAGAGGGAGGGAAGGGAAGGAGAGGCAATGGCAACAACCACAATCCCAGCAGCAGGAGCAGCTGCAGCAGCAGACAGAAGAGCAGCAGCAGACAGAAGAGCAGCAGCAGATGCAAGTTCAGCATCACAGAAAAGAGCAGCAGGTGGAGAATCAGAGTCGCTGGTTCTATCTCTCCCCCCCCTCGCCTCTCGAGACATCCCTGCAGCTCTCCGCCTGCCAGACTCCTTCCAGCACCACCCGTTGCCGAAAAGCGTGTGGGAGCTTGCCGGCACAGTGGTGTACAACCACCCTCACGTGATGAGCGACGAGGATTTACCGATGGAGGCACTTGAGGCAAAGGTGAGAGACATGGCGCATTCAGTTCAGACTACCAGTGCCTCCAGTCCAGTCCAGCCGCCTGCCAGCCTCCTTCCAGCTCCGCCCGTTGCCCAAGCGCGTGGTGGTGCTGGCTGGCCGGCACAGTGGTGTGCAACCATCCTCACGTGATGGGCGGAGGTGATTTACCCATGGAGGCATTGCAGGCAAAGGTGAAACATGGCGCATTCAGAGTGCCTGCCCCCAGTCCAGACGCCTGTCAGCTGCCTTCCAGCGCCGCCCGTTGCCCAAGAGTGTGAGGGAGCTGGCGGGCCCAGTGGTGTGCAGCCACCCTCACGTGATGAGCAACGAGGATCTACCCATGGAGGCACTGCAGGCGAAGGTGAGCGACATGGCACATTCAGGGTCCAAGCAGACGCCTGCCACTCTCCTTCCTTCCAGCACCACCCGGTGCCTAAAAGTGTGTTTGAGAGTGGCACAGTGGTGTATGGGAGCTGGCAGGCACAGTGGTGTATGGGAGCTGGCAGGCACAGTGGTGTATGGGAGCTGGCAGGCACAGTGGTGTACAACCACCCTCACGTCGTGAGTGACGAGGATTTACCCATGGAGGCACTGCAGGCAAAGATACGGGAGTCATGCTGGAGTGGATGGGGTCCGTCCAGTCTCCTGCTAGTCAGGCTCCTTCCAGCACCACCCATTGCCTTATCGTGTGGTGGAGCTGGCATCACAGTGGTGTGCAACCACCCTCACGTGATGAGCGACGAGGATGTACTCCTCATGGAGGCACTGCAGGCGAAGGTGAGAGACATGCTAAACTTCTCACATACTCCGTACTAACTCCTGCCCGCCACTCTCCTTCCTTCCACCATCATCTGTTGCCTAAACTTGTGTCTGAGCTGGCCGGCACTGTGTCTGGCACAGTGGCTGGCACAGTGGCTGGCACAGTGGCTGGCACTGTGGCTGGCACAGTGGCTGGCACAGTGGCTGGCACTGTGGCTGGCACAGTGGCTGGCACAGTGGCTGGCACAGTGGCTGGCACAGTGGCTGGCACAGTGTGCTGATGAGAGAAATGGATCTTCAGGTCAAGGTGAGAAGCATACTAGAGTCCTTCCAGATTCTGCCTGCGAGACTACTTCCTTCCAGCACCACCGCCTCCATCCCCTCCCTCCCCCACCCCCACATCCCCCTTTTCCTCACTCAATCGCCCGCCCGCAGCTGTGTTTTGAGTCGACTCAAAAATGCGCCCGCCCGCAGCTGCTGCAACTAATTCCATCTGACTTCCTGCCCACTTTCTCTCCGCCACCCCACCCTCCCCACCCCCCCAAATCCCCCCTCTCCTCACTCCATTACCAGCTCACATTCTTCAGTCCTTACGTATTGTGTGCCATTGTAACGAGGTGACTTTTTAGTGGATTTAAAAGTCGTCCCGTCCTCTCTCTCCTCCCTCAGTCGCCAGCTCGCCTTCTTCGAGTCTCTACATTTTAGAGGAGTGGGCCTGGCAAAGGTCATCGTGCAGCGCCCACTATAAGCTGTTAGAATTTCAACGCCCCTTTCCCCCTGTCCCCACCCACCCCTCCCCTTTCTCCCCCCTCAAATGCCAGCTCGCATTCTTCGAATCGCTCCACATCAGGGGAGTGGGCCTCGCTAAAGTCATCGTGCGCCGCCCGCAGTTGCTGAGCAGCTCGCTGGACGCCACGTGGCAGCTGCTGATTCGCTACCTCTCGCTGCTGGGGCTCACCAACACGCAGATCGGGGAAATGGTGGTGCGCCACCCAAAGGTGCTGCAGCTCACCGTGCAGGCGGATGTCTCTCCTAAGGTATGGGTGAGGTATAGGAGAGATGGTGAGATGGTGGTGCGCCACCCAAAGGTGCTGCAGCTTACAGTGCAGGCAGACGTGTCTCCCAAGGTACGGATGGGTACGGATGGGTGTGGATGAGTGCATGCCGTTCAAACCTAATCGGCGAGATGGTGGTGCGCCACCCGGAAGTACTGCAGCTTACAGTGCAAGCAGACGTGTCTCCCAAGGTATGGATGGGTATGGATGGTGTGGATGGTGTGGATGGGTATGGATGGTGTGGATGGTGTGGATGGGTATGGATGGGTGTGGATGGGTATGGATGGGTATGGATGGTGTGGATGGGTATGGATGGGTGTGGATGGGTATGGATGGGTATGGAGGGTGTGGATGGGTATGGATGGGTATGGATGGGTATGGATGGGTATGGACGGGTATGGATGGTGTGAATGGGTGCCTGCGGTGAGACTGACCTGCGTTCGAACCAGATCGGGGAGATGGTGGTGCGCCACCCGAAGGTGCTGCAGCTTACAGTGCAAGCGGACGTGTCTCCCAAGGTATGGACGTGGTCTTGTATGGGTACAGATGGGTGTGGATGGGTGCCTTCTGCAGCTGACTTACCTTCAAATCAGATCCGGGAGATGGTGGTGCGCCACCCAAAATTGCTGCAGCTTACAGTGCAGGCGGATGTGTCTTCTAAGGTATGGATGTGTACGTATGGGTACAGATGGGTGTGGATGAGTGCATGCCGTTCAAATCAGACCGGGGAGATAGTGGTGCGCCACCCGAAAGTCCTGCAGCTTACAGTGCAGGCGGATGTGTCTTCCAAGATATGGATGTGGTTAAGTATGGATGAGGTCATACCATAAGGTAGCTATGGTGCTGCGATGTCACCACCAGCACCTGCTGTGAGACTGACCAGCGTTGGAATCAGGCTGGGGAGCTGGTGGTGCACCACCCGAAGTGCTGCAGCTCACCGTTCAGGCAGACATGTGGTATGAATGAGCTTTGACCACCCGCAGGGTCTGATCTGACTTACATTCAAATCAGATCAGGGAGATGGTGGTACAGAAGGTGCAAATCTGTGACCTAAACCCAAAGGTGCTGCAGCTCACAGTGCAAGCGGATGTCTCATCTAAGGTATGGAAGAGGTGAGGAACGGACAGGTTCTTAATGTATGCGTTTGCTATCATTGGGTCGACTCAAAATTAGACCAAGGGTGCTTCTGGTACATGTCAGTTGCCGAGGGACAAGCTCTTAGGTGCTTCAGCTGCCGAGGTGACTTGTGAGTGACTTGTTATCCGCCCCAGTCGGTGGTCGCTAGGAAGTGAATCCTCACTCTTCCCGTGTGCCTCTCATCTCTTGGTCCTCTCAGGTTCGCTTCCTCCGGCTGATCGGGATTCCCGAGGCAGATGTAGCGGGAGTTCTGCACCGCTTTCCACCCATCCTCACCTACAGCCTCGACAAGAAGATAAGACCACTGGTGAGCTGAGTGGTAGTAGCCTTTGAGGCAGCTCGTCTCGTCTTGCGCTTGCCATCAATCAACCATGCAATGAAGATGTTTCTGCCACTCCTCTTGGCTTAGCTGGGCCCATATTCCCAACCATTGGCTTTTGAGTCGACTCAAAAGATTAGCTGGGCCCATATTCCCAACCATTGGCTCCATTAGTCGTGCATCTGCCCCCCACACCACAGCTCATGCAAGCTTAGCTGTTGCAGGTGGTTTTGAGAATTCTCACAAACCAGCTGCATATGCAGATATTTACTAGCCAAGCCATGTTTTGAGTCGACTCAAAACACGACCTGCTGCATCTGCAAATGTTTACTAGCCAAGCCACAGCTCACACAAGCTGAACCGATATTCTCCCTCCCTACCTGCTTCACACCAACCCCGCTTCCTCAGGTTCGGTTCCTCGTCACCGAAGCAGGAGTCCCGGACCACGAGGTTTGGAAGGTCGTGGTGGCTCGGCCGGACTTGGTGGCGTGCCATCTGGACGACAGGCTTCGTCCGCTAGTGCGCTTTCTGCTATCCATGGGCGTAGTGAGGGAAGATGTGGGGAGCATGGTGGTGCAGTTCCCCCCTCTGCTCAAGTACAATCCGGCTATTCTCAAGCCCAAGTGGCGGTATTTTCAGAGGACCATGCGGTTGACTGTCGACCATCTAGTGGCTTTCCCACGGTGAGTGCGACAGGGTGTAGCATGGTTCAGTTCGGTGTGGTGAGGAGCAGGCAGAAGAGGACCCCTCGGCTATTCTGAAGCCCAAGTGGCGGTATTTCCAGAGGACCATGCGCCTGACCGTCGACCATCTGGTTGCCTTCCCATGGTGAGTGTGGGGTAAAAGGTTTCTCTCCTATGGTACAGTACGGTTCTGTGCGGTGAAGATCAGGCAGAGAAGGAAGACGTGAGGTCGACAGGCTTCGTCCGGTAGTGCGCTTCCTGCTGTCCATGGGGGTACGGTCCAGGCTTCCTGCTAGTACGGTCCAGTGCGGTGAAGCGCAGGCAGAGGAGGAGGAGGATGTGGGGAGTTTACAGAGGAGGAGGAGGATGTGAGGATGTGAGGAGGAGGAGCAGGCAGAGGAGGAGGAGGCAGTTTACAGTCCCTCTGCTATTCTGAAGCCCAAGTGGCGCTACTTCCAGAGGACCATGCGCCTGACCGTCAACCATCTGGTTGCCTTCCCACTGGTAGTGCGATACAGTAGAGGTAGGGGACAGCATGATGTGGTTTTATGGTGGTGCAGTATGGTGTAGTGTGGTGAACAGCAGGTGGAGAAGGTGGAAGCGTGGGGGCCATGGCGGAGAAATCCTGGAGCCCCAAATGGCGGGATTTCTCCAAATGGAGCAATCCTCGAGGACCACGTGCCTCACTGTCGACCATCTAGTCACCTTCCCACAGTGGGTATGATATGTTACGGGGTGCAGTGTGGTATGGTATAGTATGCATCCTACGGTGCAGTATGGTTCAGTGTTGTGATGAGCAGGCGGAGGAGGTGGCAGAGGAGAATGTGTGAAGCATTGCTCCTACCCAAGCAGGGGGGTATCATTGCTCCCTCCCTGGCACCCCCTGCTATCAGCCTCTGACGGTCCGACCCTGAGGTTTGGTCACACCCGGCCCATATCCAACACTCCCCCACACCCTGCCCTCTAATCCCTTCCTGTTCCTTTTTCCAAGCAGCTTCCTAAATGCCCTGGACACACGCATTGCTCCCCGAAAACTATCGAGTTCACTTGTTAGTCTCCGCCCCCCTCCGCCCTCCCCTTGTTTCTCTCTTCCAAACCAGATTCTTCAGCTATGATCTGGACACACGCATTGCTCCGAGACACCGTCTGCTGCAGCAGCAAGGGCTGTCGTTCAGCCTGAGACACACGCTGTGCTACTCAGATGCCCACTTCCCATGCCCCTCACTTTCTTCCAACCCACCGTCTCTCCTCCCTCCTTCCAAGCAGCTTCTTTAGCTATGCACTCAACACACGCATTGCTCCGAGGCACCACTTGTTGCAGCAGCACGGGCTGTCCTTCAGCCTGAGACACATGCTCTGCTGCTCTGGTCTGATGCCCTCTTCCCATGCCCTCTTCTTATGTTCGTCTCATGCCCACTTTTTACAGATTCTTCAGCTATGCCCTGGACACGCGCATTGCTCCAAGGCACCGCCTGCTGCAGCAGCAAGGGCTGTCCTTCAGCCTGAGACACACGCTGTGCTGCTCCGATGAGCTGTTCTTAGAGCGGGTCAAGTGGGCGCTGCAGGGGAGAGGAGAGGGAGGTGGAGAGGGAAATGAGGTGGAAGGGGAAGAGGAAGGGGAAGAGGAAGAAGGGGAGGAAGCAGAGGAGGGAGAGGAGGAAAAGGGGGAATAGATGTGGAGGAGAAGGGAGCAAGCGTAGCTTATTAAGCTCATGCATTCAACCTGCTGCAGCAGTAAGGGCTGTCTTTTGGCCTGAGACACATGCTGTGTTGCTCCGATGAGCTATTCTTGGAAAGAGTGAAGTGGGCGCTGGAGGGGAGAGGAGAGGAGAGTGGGGAGGAGACTGAGATGGGTGAAGAGGACGAAGAAAAAAGGGATGAATCAGAGGAAGGAGAGGGGGGGGAGAGAGGTGGAGAAAGAGAGCAGGCTCAGGGTAGTCTGCCACACAGACACATGCTCATGTGAAGTTCAACATGAGGCACATGCTGTGCTGCTCTGATGAGCTGTTTTTGGAAAGAGTGAAGTGGGCGCTGGATGGGAGGGGGGAGGGCAGTGGAGAGGACGGGAGAGGAGAGGACAGTGAGGTGGGTAGGGAGGAGGAAGTGGGGGAGGAAGCAGAGGATGGTGAGGAGGACGAGGGAGGGGGAGAGGAAGCAGAGGTGGCGCAGAAGAGAGAAGGGTTGGTGTGGTTACCGTAAATGCTAGATCCATCTTTCAGCGGCCCATGGCTCATGTTGTTCTGCTATTTTTTTTTGTGACTCGTAGTTAGATGATAAGATTCATCATTCAACCTGAGGCACATGCTGTGCTGCTCCAATGTTCTGCACCTGGACTGGATTCTTTGGGCGCTGAATGAAGGAGGCGAGGGGAGTGTGAAAGAGGGGAAGAGATGGAGTAGAAAGGAGAGACGTGGGCTTCGGGGATTTACTATTGTCCGTCATCTGATGCTCTGTGTTAACAATAGTTGTCTTCACCATTTGACATAAAGAAACGACATGCTTTATTACCAAAAGGGTTTAATCAAGACAGAGCACAAGACAAATGAATGTTCCCTGCAAGCATCCAAACCCTTTCCGTCCAAACCAGACTCAGCAAAAGCAAAGAAAAGCAAACCCAGACAACTAAACCAAACCGAACCATCACACCACCAAGGCTAGAACCAGACTCGGCACAAGCAAAGCAAAGCAAACCCAAACCGAACCATCACACAGCAAGACAAACATCTACTATCCACTAAGTATGTGCAGAGCAGAGGCTGTATCCCAGAGGGCAGTACCAGCACCACGAGGACTTGCATCACTTACTCTCTCTTATTCTTGTCACCGCACTCGGAGATGAGGGGCTCTGTTGTTCCCACACCGCTTATGCCCCGATCTTGAAGAGAACGCAGCGCTGATTCTCAGGAATGACGTCGGAGCCTTGTCCCTGGTTGAGGTTAACGGTTTTCCTGCCCACTTTCAGCTCTGCGTTGGTGATTGGCACCTTCACCAGCTGGCCGCGCAGCTTCCCCTCGTCACCCTTCTGCACGTAGCGCATTATAATCCCCTGCGGAAGAGAGGGGGGGAGGGGGTGGGGCAGGAAGCAAAACACTTTGAATCGCCTGCGGGGCACCAGGTGCAGCACCACAAAGCCAAGGGCGTGGGGGCGTGCGGAGGGGAGAGGGGCAGGGGGGGTGGGAGAGGAAAGCAATGCACTTCGAATCGCCTGCCGCGGGGCACCAGGTGCAGCACCACAAAGCCAAGGGCGTGGGGGCGTGCGGAGGGGAGAGGGGCAGGGGGGGTGGGGGAGGAAAGCAATGCGCGGAAGAGCATTAGGGGGGTTGTAGTAAGGCGCACCAGGTACTGCACCACAGGGCGCGGAGGGGTGTGGGGAGGAAGCGGAGGGGGGTGGGAGGCGCAATGCGGTAGGGGCACATAATGCGTGACAGAGGAGCATGAGGTGATTTAGGACGCACGCCAGCATATGTAACGTTGCGTCTACATGGAATTGATCACTTAGGAGCCCTCGAGGGCTTAGGAACGGTTTTAGCTTACGCTATCGCGAGCGTAGAACTGGTTGCGGAGATTCTCCATGCCCTTCCGCGCGCACGGGTACTGCGCGCCATCCGAGTTGAGCCTGGTAATAGACACGCCGTCTGCTACCAAGAACGTTCCGAAGCGCGTCTCGCCCCTGGGCATGTTGAACTCGGGGATGGAGCCTTGGAATCCGTCGAACGAGAAGGCGCACGAGGACGGCGACGGCTCGCACCCGCCGGACGACGGCCGCCGGCTGCCGCCGCCATGATGCGACGAATCGCCCGCCGGGTTGTGGCGCGCGAGGATCTTTGCGACCCCGGGCCGCTTGAATGCCTGCGAATCAGCCATTTGGGTAGTACTTAAATGAAATCGATGACGTGCGTAGATAGTGTTGAAGGAAATTGGCCCCGCCCTCGCATGGGCAAAACTGACTTTGTGGTCGGGTGTGCGGGAGGTGCAGCCGACCTTCTACAGGTGTTCGAGGGTTGCCTGTACACGAGGTGTACTAGGGAATCCATGCAAGAGTAACTGAAGCATCTGCGAGTGCAACACAGACTTCCCGTGCGCATGTACAAGTTGCGCAGCTCGTGCAAAAGTTCGCGGGTGTTCGTCTGCGCAGGGTCGCGTCTGACCCTGCGCAACCTTGAGACTGCACAGGCGAATTTTGGCCAGAAATTCGAATGTGCCCTAATTTCGACCAATCAGGAGCTGACATTTTGAAATGTCAACCGAGGTGCTCAACGAAGGTGCTCGACGAAGGTCGTCGAGCAGCGACGACGAAGGTCGTCAACCTGCGATGACAAAGGTCGTCAACCGGTGATGACGAAGGTCATCATCCTACAGAGATGTCAGGGACTTCATCTGGTTGACCAAGTTACCTGCTCGACGAGTGTGCGAAGTGTCAGAATGATGTAATTGTCTAGCCTGCAGTGGGGTACTCCATAGCGAGTACAACCCAATTAGGGTTTCCTATATGTATCTCAACTGCTGCTAGTGCAAACCCCTCTTTCTGCTTCTAAACTTTTCCTCATACCTGTGACACGAAGGTGTGCGAACGTCGTCGAGACTGTTGTGGCGAAGTCGACCAACGTGGCAGCACATGGTCGACGTGGCTCATCATGTGCAACTGTCAGCATGTGGCTGACAACCTGCGCAATGTACTTGACAGTGCACGTCGTGCATAACTGTCTACAAGCACCTGCGAAGTAGGTGCTTGCACATGCGCTTACAGTCACCTGCGGATGCAATGTTGGCAAGGCGCGCGGATGCTGCGTTGGCAAGCCGCGCGAATGCAGCGTTGGCAGGCCGCCATTCTGCAGCGTTGGCAAGTCGCACACAAGCTGCGTTGGCGGACCGTGGAGATGCTGCGTTGGCAGGTCGACAACTCTGTCACGCTGGCAGTCGACCTGCCTGAGCACTGGCAAACCTTGCATGTGATGTAGTCCATCTTTGCCATTGCTTGTTATCATTCTGAACTCTGTATTCTCAACTTTTCCTTAGTGAAACTCTTGCTGTTTTGCCCTGTGAAAACACAAGTCCTAGAGAACACAGACAGAGCTACGATCACTCTACCAACTCGTGCCTACCCTGCAGTCTAGCTCCCACCGTTGTAGAGTTAATCTCCTCATGGTGCAGTGAGCGTGGATCGAACACGCGACCTTCAGATAGGAGCCAACTTTTGCACCTACTAAGTCGTTCGTAGGCCGGCAGCCTTTTAAGTCACCATGGTCGACCCCGTAGTTGACGCGGGTGTAGTGGATACCTTGGAGACACGACTAGATAATGCGAGGAGATGCCACGAGGCTGGCGAGTACGGAACGATCCCCTTGGAGATCGTCGAGTTGGGCATCCGGGCGCAGTGGGCGACGGAGCACCCTTCCCGTCCTGCATCTCCTCGACCGGCACGCAAGGAAGGTGGCGTCGACGAGGAGGTCGACGGCGGTGCACGAGTCAGTGGCAACGCGGGCACGAGGCAGATAGGAGTGCTCAGGTCTGTTGACGGTGGTGTTGGCGGGAGTCACGCACGAGTGCAGCGGTCGATGGCACCTCAACGAAGCAGTGGAAGTCCCTCGTCAACGACGCATGTGACAGCGGGCGGGATCGCGCCGGCGTATGGCTACTTCAAGTTTTCGCCGGACAAGATCACCGTCGCACCTCTGCAAGGTCGACAGGACCTCATCACTTGGAGGGAGTCGATAGAACCACAGCTGGAGGTCGCCGGGCTAAAGGGCTTCGCCGACGGCACTGTGCCAATTCCGCACGAGGACGATGTTGAGCTGCGCGGGGAGTTTCGTGCTGCTCACTTGCTCACTTTCATGGTCATCTCGAGGTGCTGCTCGCCGGTGGTGCAGCTTGCGCTCAGGACCTGTCGAGAGCGTCTAGATGCTGGTCACCAAGCATGACACTTCATCCTGTCGACGTACCAGGCGAAGGACGACCTGTACATCGGACAGCTAGAGGAGAAGATGACACATCTTCGGATGGGTGAGCAGGAGTCGGCGACGGACTACTGCAACCGTGCTCGACGGATACTGGCCGAAATGCGGATGGCGGGCGCCGAATACTCTACGGCGTCCTACATCACCCACGTTGTCAAGGGCCTGCCGCGTAGCTACAACCTCATGAAGAGGATGATGATGGTGCCCGGCACGCGGGAGTCACTCGACGAGGACTCGATCACTAGCTACATCCTTCAAGATGAGGCTATGCAGGAGGCAGAGCAGCCCACGGAGCTCCTTCCGCAGGCGAGTTACGCTGCACCGATGAAGCAAAATCGTCCGCAGGGGTAGTGAGGAAAGTCTGGCGGAGGTGGTAGCGGAGGTGGGAGGTCGGCAAAGGACGCCGACCAGGCGAAATCAACTCGTGACAGCGGTCGCGGCAAGGGTGGTCGACGGCGTGAGTGCTGGGTCTGCGGAAGCGCCGACCACCTCTCCTATGACTGCCCCGACTGAGAAGACACTGACGACGATGACCACAAGGGAGGCCGCGGAAGGTCGGCCAACGGTCGTCAAAGTCGGGACGAGAAGCCGCGCAAGGAGAAGGAGACGTCGAAGAAGACGTCGTCGACGAAGGAGGTCGACTCCTCCAGCGGCAAAGGGTAAGGTGACGGAGAAGCTTCATGCTCAATGGTCAGCATGGTGGAGCAGATTGTTTCGCTGGCGCCAGAGGCCGGCGAAGACTTCCAAGCGGTCGCAGCAGCTGTGCAGGCGAATCCGATGGTGGTCCTGCTCGACAGTGGTTGCTCACACCACCTCATGGGGACGAAGGAGGCCTTTGTTGACATGGGGCCGAGAGGCAATGTGAAGCATGTGCGTGGCTTCAACGGGGCTCTGCAGACCGTCGAGGGCCGAGGTACCGTCGCTCTGCAAGGGGAGGCCGGGAAGCAGGTCCTCATCCCCGACGTGCTCTACGTCCCGGGCGTGCAGGCAAACTTGCTCTCAGCCGGTCAGCTGAAGGAGAACGATGTGCAGCTGCAGGACGACGGCGACGAGATGATGCTCGTCAACGCGACCGGCGAAGTGCTCGGCCGAGCACGCTACACTGGCCGCGTCCTCTGCACCGACCTCCGTCCCTGCTCAACAACGTTGTCGTCGAAGTCGACAGAGGTGGTGGCTCTGCGGACGATCGCATCGGCAACGAAGTCGACGCCGCCCAGGTGGCACGCAAGGCTTGCGCACGTTGGCGTTGACACCATCAAGAGCTCGGCGAAGCACAATGTCGCCACCGGCCTGGACATCACGCCTTCCACAGGGACCGATTTGCCGTGCGTCTCCTGCGTAGGTGGCAAGCTTGCGCGGCATACCTTCCCCGACAAAGGTTCGGATGCGGAGGAAGCCCTTGCTGTTGTGCACATTGACTTGTGCGGACCGTTCCAAGTGGCCGCCAAGGATGGCAGCTACTACTTCCTTCTGCTGAAGGATCGAAAAACACGCTACATGTGGGTGAGGCCGGTCGCCAAGAAAAGCGACGTCCTGGAAGTGTTTAAGCAGTGGCTGGTGGTCGTGGAGAGGCAAACCAGGAAGTCGGTGATGATGCTCCGCTCTGACCGCGGAGGCGAGTTCCTGGGGAAGGACTTCACCAACTTCGTCAACAGCAAAGGCATCGTCCACAACATGACCTGTCCGTACACTCCGCAGCAGAACGGCATGGCGGAGAGAGAGATGCGGACGGTCGTCGAGGCCGTGCGGACGATGCTGCTGCACACGGGCGTGCAGCACCACTGGTGGCATCTCGCCCTGCGGGTGCGCAACTGCTTGGAGCGGTCGACGCTGCCTCTGGGGACGACGCCGCACCAGCTGCTGACAGGCAAGAAGCCTGATCTCACTCTGGCGAGGGTGTGGGGCTGCATGGTGCAGTTCATGGTCCCTGAGCAGCAGCGTGGTGGGAAGCTGGCGTCGAAGGCTCGTTGGGGGCTACACCTGGGTGTGTCACTGGAGAGCAAGGGATGGGAAGTGCTCGACCTGACTGACAACAAGCTTGTCACAACGGTCAAGGCTATCTTCTACGAGACGATGTCTCTGGAGGTGTGGAAGGTGACGCATGGGCCAGCGTCTGCACGGGCGCAGACCCACTCTTCGACTGACTCCTCGACGGCGACGTTTCCACTGCTCGCCGAGATCGACGAGGCTGCTGACGAGGATGTCGAGGAGGTCCATCCTACTCCTCCTCCTCCTGTTCCTTCTGCACCACCTGTTGTCGCCGACCTGCCTGAGCAGACACCTTCGTCAGCCACTGGCGACGAGGGGAGCCTGCGGACGTTGCCTGTGGCGCCGTCCAAGGGCATTGCTAGCGGCCGACGTGATGTCAAGCTCGTCGACGAGGGTACGAAGCCTTCGACGGCAGGGGAGCTGCGGGTGGAACAGATGCAGCTGACAGGGGAGCCATTGACGAAGGAAGCGTCTGCAGAGGAACCGTCGACAGGGGAGCAGTTCGACGATGGTTCGTCGAGTGACGTTGTGGAGGACATTGGTGAACCTGATGACGACGAAGGGGAGCTGTCTGCGGGGGAGCAGTCCACTGACAGCGATGTGGTGGAAGTCAAAGCTGACGAGCCTCCGCTGCGACGTTCCACTCGTGTCAACTTTGGCAAGCCTCGCGAGAAGCTGAGCTACCATGCTTGCTTGCCCCCCACCTCCTACAGCACGTTGCTCGACGATGCGCAGGACGACGTCGACCTGCCCGAGCTCGACCCTGACGTGCACGCTGACCCAGAGCATCGCTGGGACATCGCGACGATGACAGTGAAGGAGGCTCTGGCGAGCTGGAAAGGCAAGGCGGTGAAGGCGGCGATGGACGAGGAGATTCGCAGCCTCATCGCCAACGGCACATGGGAGCTGGTCGAACGTCCG